CCGGAAGTCCAATCCTATCTAACTTTCCCCAAAAGCCCTTAGTACTGCGGCAGATAATCCTAATATACATAATTATTTTTTTCTCCAGCTTTTAAGACCAAGACCCATGGAATTGTATTAGTTCATTCTAAATATTCTAGGGAGTTGCATCATTCACCTACAATTTTTTTTATTTGCACATTGTTGATTTTTTTTTTTTAAATGTAAATATATTAATACTTACAAATAGTTGATTTGCGTTTTATTTTTGTTATTAGTTTCAAAATTATTTTTTATGAATAGTGTATGAATGTTCTATGTATAATTTTTTTAAATATCATATTTTTTTGTGAAAGATGTTGTAAACATGTATAAAAGAGAGAATATTCTATGCTAACGAAATCAGGCCAATGAATTACAGAATTAACTTATGAATACGTACAAGCCCTAAAAACTCATACAATGAAACCTAGTGTCATCTGTAATGAAGTGGTAATGGGCCTGGCTAATTCATCCGATATGAGGCCCAATAACCAATCACTAAATCAGTCTCGGGGTTGGTCGGGTCGGGTGGAATGGATCCCCTACTTTTTTTTGTTTTATATGTTTATCACGATTTAAGTGGCTTGAGCCAAGGTCAAATTAGGCGTTTGTGTAATTAAGCAATTTGATGTCGCTTAAGTAAAGTCTTTGGTTCGAGTCATTGTGAATACAGATAACTCTTGTTAGGAGACTCACTTACCATTAACAGGTGTGCGACCCGAATCGACCAACGAACTAGTTGGGGCAAAGCTCCAGATACCGTGGTTGACTATAAAAAACAAAACAGCGATACTCAAATTCTAATGACAACATTTAATGAAATCACAATGATAATTTTAATATTATAATTTTTTTTTTTTTAAAAAATTTACAATATATGACCATTCAAATTGAAACGTTCAGTTACAATTTCTGTTGGAATTTTGATATTTTTAAATATTAGAAACCATCGACGGAAAAAATATTAATTTCAACGAAAATTTTTATGAAAATAAAATTGGAAAAAAAAAAATTATTTAAATAGTGGAATTGTTCTATTTAAACTGTAATGTTCAGTCACAGAAAGTCTATGGAGCCATCGGATGACCCTCTTATGGAGCAATCCATCACTTTATGTACTGACACATGTTCAATGTGCATTTATTGCAGGACATGTGTCAATACATCATTTGCTAATAACAATGGATGGCTCCATAAACCGAGCCATCCGATTGCTCCATAGCAAAACTGTGTTCAGTCATATATAATCTAATAATTCTCATGTTTTGGTACATTTGTTTACAGCTTACATTTTGTTATAATTAATTCATTGATTAATAATATCAGTATTATTATTAGTGTAGGTCATGAATTCCACAAAAATTTAATAAATAACGTTAGGAGGAAGGTTGTTAAAGCACATTGGATGCAGTAATTGCTTAGAGTTGAGTCGACAGTTCAGTTTGACTTTAATTTTGGGCAAGAAAAATAAATGCTCGTTTGCTTAAGATGCTTAAATTCTTGTTAATAATTGACATTTTACGCCTCTTCACCTGTAACCAATAACCATACTCAATAATAAGTAGTGGTCGGCCCTTCTTCTCTTTGTATGTTTCCTCTACAGTTGAGCTGTATACACTTTGTGTGTATATATGTGTTCAATGTCACATAGTAGTATATTTTCAATAAACATGCATGCTTGGCTCGACTTGTTTAATAAACAACTTTGACTCCTAATTATATAAACGAGTTACGCTCGAGTTTTTTACGAGTCGAACTAAACTGTATTAGCTAACAACTGGTTAGAATAACAACTTACGTCACATATAGTATCATCTTATTAATCCTGAACTTTAGAATCTTTGTGCTTAGGATTAGATTTCTATTAACGAACGATTAACGAACCTTTTTCAGCGAATCCAACTCTAGTTTTAATACAAAACAACGAAAAACATGTAAAATTTTAACTATGAAAAGAAAAACAGTAAGGTCGTAGTTGTTAGCTAGTCATACTTAACAATTAAACAATCATATTTTCCAACAATTTTGCTCACCTACATATTGAAGTGTCATAGTCCAAAAAACGATACAAACAAAGTATGGCCTTAATAGCATAAGTATGTGCATAGTTTGTCAAAGAAAAACGTTCCTCCCGGTGCACAACTGGCTTAGCCATTTATGCCCTGTAACTTACGACATGTGGCAATTATGGACACCGTCTTTTTGTTTTTTGACAAATTAGGACATTCATAATGCACAATTTTTCGCGATAATCCTAATTTGTCAAAACAAAAAGTAGGTATCCATAATTACCATAGACCACACATTAGAAGGCATAAATTTTAACTTTTTGTAGCTATGTTGGGGACCTTTAACATAACAATAACAATTAGTCAATAGTTTTCATCAATCTCATCATCGTGAGGATGAACCAAAATCCTACTTTGGTCCAGCAAAAACGACACCCACAATATTCTTCATAGATAGCTCCCCACTACCCATTTTTTGTTAAAAAAAAAAGAAAAA